GTATTTGTGCACAAGGGGATAACTGGTTTGCTTTATTTAATGTCTCCCAGCTGAACCACTTGTGTTTTGATTCTTACTATGCTAGGTGTTATCTGCGTGGCTTTGGAGAAGAGTGCAAGCAGTGTCTTGGTAATACTTGTTTGTAAAAGATGCTTTCTTCACTCTACAAAGTGGGATGACAGAACTGTAGTGCTTTTATGCAGAACAATGACTGATAATTTCCTGCCCCAAGCTTGTATCTTGAGGGCTGATTCAGCAGAGGAAAAAAAAAGAAAAAAGCAGCAGAAGAGAAGATCTGGCTTCTTTGTTATAGGATTGTGAAAAGCTGATTGTTTTTATGGCTTAAATAGCTTTGCACCCTGGCTGTATGCTATGGGTTTCAAAATTACTCTGTGCTGAATTGGATCCTTGTTTTAGTGGCCTGTGTCTCTGACCCGCACTTTGCTTATCTTCCCTGTTGAAAGTAATTTATACTCCAGCATGGCATAGTACTACTGTGCTAAGAAGAAAATACTATTGACAATTGTGATAGATGCTCCTAGTGCTTAGTGAGTGCAGAAGAGTTAATCTGATTGCGTTTTTACAGTCTGTATATTTCTCTGCTTATTGTTTGTGTCTTGCTGTTGGAAAAACAGGTTAGATGCATAGTAAATCTCTTTAATCAACATGAGACGAACAAAAAGAACAAGCACCCTCATTTGTTACAACTGCTTCAGAAGTGTGGTCATTTGAAGGATATATTCTGGGAGATCTGTCCCGTCGGAAAGGCTTGTTAATACAGCCATAACTAACTCAGGAGAGGACAAAGGCACTCATCAAAATTAACTGAAAAAATAACCCATATAGCAGATACTTACCATAACGATACTTCTGTTGTTTCTCACTATAATGTCTAAGCAGGCCCGAAGTGTGGGCCAGCAAGGGACTGGTTTCTGAGTTTGGATGCTCACTCTGAGCCTATTTGCATTCAGGTCCAATTCATTCAGTTCCCTTTACATGTTTATCCTTCCCTCCCCTTCCTCCAAATTAAAGCTCATCTCCATTTGCAGCCATTCCCAGTCAGACCTTTTCCTTGCTGTGAGTAACATAAATATGCAGGCTGTAGTAGATATGTAAAAATACAAGCCATAAACGTATGAACTGGCTCCTGGTGAGATAGATACCCTTGCAGTGTTTAATGCATTTATTAACCATGCAGTGCTCTTACTTGTAAAAGCTGGATGCATAATTGCAAGTTAGCATTTCTGGGAATGAGCTCAGAGCTACAGTGTCTGTAAAGATGAGAAGTAGAGTTACTAGGTTTGGGAGGATCTTATGATGGTTATTAGGTGCAGGGCAAGAGAAAACTAGGTTTGGTGTGGCTGAGCAAGGACATATGATTGAACCCATCTAGGAGCATTGGGATTAGAAGGAAATATGAAGGTCCACAGAGTCTTCTGGAGGAAAAATATCTCTATAAGCAACGTTCCTTTCTCCTTTCTTAAAACCACTAGCTCCTCTTCTGATCCACCTCTCTTTCTAGGAAAGAAATGAGTAAAATTTTGCTTCTGATCATTAGTCTTTTATTTTCTGGACATGCAGTTGGTTTCTCTACCAGCCCTTGAACTAAGTCCAGCAGTTTAGTTTGAATATTAAAAGCTATAAGGTTGCGAAGACCAAAAGAAGCCTTGTATGACGACCAGACAGGATGCTGAAACTCAGCAGGAGGTGTATGAATGTGATTATCTCTAAAGATCATCTGTTGCTTGTGCTGCCACAGTGATCACATTCTCTGTAAAAGCAGGTGTTCATTTTACAGACTATAAAAGCTTAAGTGAGTGCAAGGTTGTAGGCAGTACAGGGCAGCTTCGTCAGAGTAGCCCACATTACTGAGTTACAGATCCCTGCAAAGCCAGGGTGTCAACCTGTCTTACGTACCTTTGTTTTACAGTCAGAGGCATGTCACAGCTGAGTATATAAATCATTAGCAAATGCTGTTTTACCTCAGTGGAAAAGATCTCATACCTCTTTCCATATGTTTAACCAGTTATTGTAAGCTGCTTTTCTTTCACTTTTTATTTAGTTGTTATATTTATCAGCCCAGCCCTTCCCAGTGGTTCTGCTATGTGTATTCTCTTCTGCCTGAGAGTGGGACAGGAAGATTTTCCCTCTTAGCCTCTAATTAAAGGACATAAACTTTCTATACACTCTCTTCAATATGTAGGTTTTTCATTTTGATTCGGTTCTTTTCCTATTACTTATGATTTCGTGATGCACTGTTGTATTACAGTAGTACAGCCTATGCCAGCATTTCCATTATAACCCATTTTTACAGGTTTGTAACTCAACAGTAAAAATGTACTCTTCCAATTTGAAACTTGGCATGCAATGTCTCATCTCATCCTCAAAATTATAGTTTTTTCTTTCCCTTCACCTTCCCCATGAAAAGAGGTTGCATTTTTGCTGTATTTTTAAAAGGAAGATGCTGTCCTTTCTGTCTTGATAAGAGGAAAGCCTGCCTGATTATTAAAATTATTTTTCACTTCTAAGAAAGGAGGACTTTATAATGGAGGATGCATGTGAATAGGTTTGTTGATGTTAGCATGACTACAATATGTGTATGAATACAGAGAAGTATTACCTTCCAAATTAAAGCTAGGGAATATTGATCAAAATTATTGAAAAGCTTTTTATATGTTGCTTTTGTTTCCAGCTGTTGATTTTTATCCTTAAAATACTGTTCTCAAAGGTAAAGATGTTTTGGCTGCTGCACTCTATTGTTTATCAGGCTGAATGAAGTAAAGAAAAATTTTACTGCATATAGACAAAATAATGATATTTTCCTCTTTTCTCATTTGAGAAGCACAGTACAGAAGGAGCATAAATTCTAACTTTGGTGTTGAGACTAATACGAAGTGTAGACTTATAGTTAGCACAGTGTTATGAATCAATACCAGGAGTAAGCAAGCAAGCACAATGTTTCCAGTAGATGTACAGATGCTTGTATGGACTAGGAAATTTAGCACTGAATGACAAACTAAGAAATATGAGGCTGGTACAGTCCTTAGATTTTATACTGTCAAGATCTGAACCTCTGAACCTGAGGCCCCTGCTAAAGCCTCGTATTCCAATTCAATGTAATATGGGTGTTTTGGGTGTAAGAAAATTGGGATTGAAATCCAGTTTCTCCTTCTTTACCCATTCCTTGGGACCAGCCATTTAGGAGTTGAAGTCTACCCAGCTGCCATTAAGAAAAAAAACCCTAACCTCTTGAATACCACCACCACTGCGAATTAAGGCTTCACTGTCTTGCTTCATGTTGTAGCAAATGTACTTCCAGGCATTTCTTTTTCTATTTAGACAGTTAGATTTATGCTTACCATAACCACTTTAGTAGTATTAATTAGAAGAAAGGGTATGTAAGAGAGAGATTTCACAGAGGATGTTTATTAATGAATTGAGCTATTATTTTGTCATATATTTGAAAACTCTCAACATATATACAGTAAGCATTCTTACTGTGCCTTTCTTTTTAAATACCAAGCTGTCTTTCTTTTAAATCCTAGCTGTTTTAGTTTTTCATTGTCTCTAATGTATCTATTTATTAAAGTGTCATGAAAAGCAGAGAGTGTACTTCCTAATTAGAAGTTCAGTTCCTTCATTTGGATTCTAAAATCAGTAATTAGGTCGAAGACTGTTTTGTATCCATAGGCAGCACTGATGGTTCTCAGAAATAAAATGAAATAGGTGTACATGGAATGAATTTTTTGAGGGTATAGAATCAGAATGCTCAGCATTTCCTCACATCAGCATTAGTCCAGTCCATCTCTGCCAACACCAGTGGGATTCTGCAGTGTAAAATGAATGCAACACAGTGAGAGCGGATCCTCATTTTTTTTGCAGGAAGTAAATTGCAAGTCCAGGTGGAAGTACAGATGTGCTCAATGCAGTCAATAGTTTCATTGTGTAAACCCAAGTTTTCTGTTATAAGACTTGATTGAACATTTTAACATTGGTAGCTCCTATAAAAGAGTGATGTTTATGTTTCTGGAATATACAAAGAAAGACATGATACTGAGAATCACTGAAGTACTTAAATCCACCACAGCACAACTTATTGAAAATATCTTCAGCACCATGGGGATTCCTACTGCTATTGTAGAAAAGCAGAAAACTCCCAGCCCCGTCATGTTCACTTCAACAATGAAAATATTAAACACCTTATGATGCTTGACAGAGTGCACACTATTGCTTTCATTTTGGCTGGTGCTGCTACCAGAAATGTTTCTTACTCGAGTCAGTGTGGAGAGTGCACTGTAATAGCAACAGATGGATGCTCGTCATAAGACATGGCTGAAGATACAGCAGATTCATTTTTCAGTTTTCGATCATGTAAAATATTCCTACATTTAATTATATTCCTTCTACAGTAATCAGTGGATGCAGTGTAAACAAACAGCTCAATTTGACTTACAGGTATATATGTTAAGAGACATTGAATGTTCTTTTTGTAACTTTCTAGAAGAGACTCCGTGGCAGCCCTGCAATATATTGAATTTATATTTGTATTTTTATAATAATACCTGGAAAATTTGCAAGAATCATTAAGGATAAAATACTCCTGTGCTATATATTCCTAAAACTGAGGTGTATGATATATTTGTTGTTAATGTGCAGTGGCATTATGGTTGATATTAATGTCATATTTCATTTCTTCTCATGGACATGTAGTGCCATTTTTAAGGGGCCATAGAACGTAACATGTTCTCTGCAGCTGATGGTACTCATCATTGTAATTACTAAGTACCCTTAGCCGACTGATTGAAGTTTTGCTGTAAATTCAAATCAGAATGTGAATGTTATCAGAAAACATGCAGTTACATTCGGAGAGTTTATTTGCTAATCATGTGCAAATCACTGTCAAAATTATAGGAGTATGACAACCCATGCAATTCATCTAATTGCTTTGTGCTGCTGTATGTAAAAATTATACAGGGAATAAATCTTGCATTTGTTCACAGACACAGAAGAAGCGGAAATCCAATGAATCTGTAGATACAGAGCTCTGTCTTAATGAGGTAAGTGTGGATCCTGTATATATCAGGTGTCTCACCATAATATAAAACATTCAAAGTCTGTCAAGATTATCATGGACTTAGCTCACACTAAAGTCTTAGTATTGTTATGTTTGGCTACTATCATGTATTAAAGAATAATTTTACTAAGAAATCTGGAGCTGGGCTCAAAGTGGCCTCTGATGGCTTTAGGTAATAGCTGTATAGCACACGTTTAGGCAAATCCCATGGTAATTTCCATTGCACCTGGCAAGTATACTTACTTAATAATCCACAGGAACACAAGATGATACAGCTTTTAGCAAATACACAGAAACGTAGTCTGTGGCTAACAAAAATGACCAATTTAGGCCATGAAATGATGTTTACATCAGGAGATGTGATGCTTGTACAGCAGGAGACAGACTGATAGCCCCAAGAGACATGAACCTCCCAGTGCTGTTTGAGTAGTCTGCTCAGGCTGACCTCCAAGGCCCCCTTTCAGACGTAATCATTACATCAGTTTCCATGTCTGTCAGTCCTTATCCTTTGTACTGAGTCTCTCAGGAAGCTTACTAATTAGAGATGTACATAAATTAATTTTTACAGTGTGGAAGCACATAGCCTAGGCATTGGAACAAGACCAGCTGCACAGGCATAAGCCACCAAAAGGATGTGACCATATGTGTATCAGGTTCTCCTTCTCTAGTCCAGATATATCCCGTTCTTCTAAACAATGACAATTCTATAGCCCATTCCTAATTCTTTAGATTTTTCTTAGAATGAAGCCTAATATCTGAGGGAACAATGCAGTTTAACAGACCTGGTGACACCTTGTGCTGGCTAAAAGACCTTACACAAGAAGGTCCTAGTAACTGTAGTTTACCGTAAGAACTGCTCATGCATTTTATGTCATACTCTGTTACAGTTTCCAAAAAAGCAGATGCCCAAAGTTGAGTATAAGAGAACATATTGTGATAATTCCCCCAATGCCTCTACTACTTCTAACAGGTGGTATAAAAGTAGGGGAATGGTGTGGTTTATCTGTGAATACCTCACTGACTCTGTAGACAGTCATTCCTGTGGAAACTGATGCTCTGTAGTCATTCTTTGTATCTGGTCCTCTGGATACTTAGAGCTTGTACCTGGAGAGGCCCGTTGCCTCTTCACAATGGCAGAGGTTTTACGCCTCTGTAGAAGCTGTATCCTTGGGGATTTTCAGATCCAGAGTAGACAGGTTTTGAGCAACTTTGCATAGAGTAGATTTGACTTAATGAAGAGATCCCTTCTACTTCTGTGACTATACCTGATAGGTTTTTCTTTTTACTGAGGTTGATAGCAGTGAAAAATACTCCTGCTTCACCTCCTCCTTAAATAGCTATAATCTGCCAGTCTGTACTTGCATATGCATGCTGTTTAATTATTGGTAGCAGAGAAGGCAAGGAATGTAAATAATGCAGCAATAAAGGTGGAAAAGGCATGAGAAAGAAAATTTCCGTAAGCTAGAAAACTCTCTTTTCTGATCCCGTGGATTAGATTTTGTTTATTGTTATCCAGAAGTAATTTGCTAAACAAAGGTGCTCTGTTGACTGTGCAGAAGTTGCAGTTTCTCTGTGGGTCCTGCATTTGCTTTTTGAATAAACTGGCATGATAAACACAAATTACTAAAATATTTGCTGTGCTAAACAAGGGGAGGTTTTACACATGGAACCATTGCTAAAGTAGGGATTTTTTAATACTTTCTCCTTTTCTTGGATTGTGCTGTACTGGTGTTTTTATTCTGTAAAATACTGACATTCTGACATCTATTTTTATCCCCTTTGCATCTTTTAATCCGTGACAGTGATACGTAGGTAACATTGGAGGGTGGGCCACGAACAACCAAAAGATTCATTTCATGATGTAGATTTTAATATCTTGCAATGAAAATGCATAATGGTGACCAAGGAAGGTGTTGTGTCTTGCAGAATGCTATCGGGAAAGACAACACAGCAGGAGTCTCCACCAGTCACATATCGTCGGAGAATTCGCTCGCTCCTCCTGCAAGCTTCTATCTAAGCACACAGCTCACTCTGATGACACTTGCACTCTCACTCTGTTTGTTCCTAAGCTCATCAGTCATCTTGTAGCTGTGTTACAAAAAGGACATGTAAAAAAATTATCTGTTTCCTGTCCTCTGTTGTTTCTCTGGAATTCCAGGTCTGGGAGCTAAGCTGAGGCACTCCTGCTAGAACAGTTGCAGTCAGCTGGAATTTTCTTTCTTTCTCTCTTAAAAAAGCTTCTTGTGATATTTAGAGGCTTTGTGAAATACTTGGTGCAGTGCTACATTCCAAACCCAAAAAGGCTTTTGGGCATGCAGTGTTTTAAAAGAGACAGTGTGTAAATTTGCCTGTAAAGCGACCTGGTTGGATTATTTTAATAATAATTATTTTAATTCTGGCTTTTACCTGAGAAGGAGGATGGCAGTTTTCTTAAGATCCTCAGATATAGCTCATTGAATGGTTTTGGTTTTCAAATTGGTTGAACTTCAGACTATCAAGAATGCGAGGCTTTTGTCTAATGGTGAATGTTCTCCCAGAGAGTGGACTTTATGAAACTTCCTCATTTGATAAATTGCTACTGATGTTAAACTCTTTCAGTGTGTTAGCATTTTCCTCTTTAAATGTTTACGTACTGTAAGTAATTCTGCGTTCCCTGCTGAGAAGCCATTATAATTCACACACAGGTATAATGTATGTCTTTCAGTTAAATTCTCATAGAGTGTGGCATAGAACTTTCTAACAGTACATTTATCTTTTAATTGTAATCATCTAGCCTTAACAAGGGTGAAGATTCTTTAAATTAACAAGAAGCAGCCATTGTGAAAGCTTGATAAAGTTATGTTTCTTTAAATTTGAGGACAAGTGGTAGAAACAAAGTTTGCTACAGGGTTTCAGCTGTACAGTCTATGGTCTTCTATGCTTCCATTGTGATAATATAGTCCAGTTATTATACTGTTTGTTTAATAAAAAAAAATGACATACAATTTATTTGCTCCACGAAACCAGCATTATCTGTTTATCTATAGCTGATAATGTCAGCTCAGAAAGTTACAGGAACTTCACGCCTTACTTCTCTCATCGCAACATTGTAGAGGGAAAAGAGGTAGTAGGATATCATTTAAACTGTGTTTTATTTCTTAGACTGCTAAAATCAACACAAAAGGGTGGTTAATCCAATTACAAGGCAACGTCATGCACACTCACCCATGTGGCAGGCTCTTCTCACCCTGGTAGTTCCTACTCCCGACCTTGGCATTGCTGACATGATGAACTGTTTGCAAGACCAGTTCCATAAATTGTGTTAATGGTTTGGATAGCGATATTGCCAGTATACATGATTTGATCTCTTCGGTTTTCATTCGGTGACAGACAGCCTCTGCTGGCTCATGATGATTTTTTGTACCTAAAAGGAATTCTTTAAAGCTTTAAATGGCATCAAACGGGCAGCATTTCTGCTAAGGTCTTTATACCTTACTGTGATGGCTTGTTGACTGTTACAAGCAGTTATGCCTAAATGATCAACAGTAATCAGGTTTTTTTTCTATTGAGAGTAGAAGATCACTAAGCAGGGAGTTCATCATGTTGAATTTACAGATTAACATTGGGACTTACACAGTTATGCCCCATCCTGCTCTGAAATGTCCACACCAGTTATTTGCAATACAACTACCAACTATTAATTACTGTTTTATAAACTGCATTGAAGTTTGGGAGTGTGCAAAATACACATCTTACTAAGAGATTATTAAACTTATTGACAAGTTCATCTTTTAAGCTTTCTCTTAGCTAATAATAAACACTTCCATATTCTGAAATTCATTTATGTACTCTTGATTATGGTGACATAATATAGGTTTCAAAACACTGTATGTGTGATAGAATTCTACAATACTCTGTGCCACTGAACATAACAAATGAGACAATATTACGCTTTAATTCTGTACTGATAAGAAACTGCAAATCACTTTCAGAGGCAGCGGAGCTGCTTTCGGAGAAGAGATACATAGCACATCATTACCAGCAAAGCCCATGTGGTTCCTGTTGCTCTTCTTGAAGAATCTAATCAAATTATTGAAAACTAGTGGCAACAGAAAAAAAGATTATGAGATTCATGATTTAAAAAATAAATCAAATTCTTTTATGTCAAAGGGAGTTGATAGTATAACCTATTGAAATGCTAATGAACATGGCGTTCTAATTCAAAACTCTGACATTATCCAATTAAAAATATTTTCAAAACAAATTCATAAACATTACAATTATTAAATCCATCTTTGATCCCCAAAGCTTTCTTACAAATACCATTTGTATTCAGCACATTAAACATTTTAAGCAGTATCGGGAATTTTAATAACCTCCCAATATAGTACATACTTTTTGAAGATATTTTTGCGTTTGGTTTGATTACAGTATCTCTATTACATTTAATACCAAATATTAGAGCTTCAACACTCTGTGATCCAGAGTAAAAGCTATCGATCAATTATACTGTAAACAACAACATAATTAGGGTCTGATTGCAAAAGAAATAGCTAGTTATCTGATTCAATGAGAATTACCTTTGGAAATGCAATTATGTATGTAGCAGAGGAAGAAATGGTGTTTTATACAGCTAGCCATGTTACCACAAAAGACCCCTAGAGCACTCAAGCTTTTTTTTTCCCTCATGTAAATTAAAAGCACACTGAATTCTTAATTTAAAAATATAAATTACTTATTAACCAGGCAAGACGGGAAAAAAACTGAAGAGTCTGACACTTAATGAGGTTTATACAGGCATCACCATGCACATACTGGAGGATTTTTATAAGATGGATGTGGCGTGGATGATGTCAATTTAGCATGGCGACCTTGTCAATGCAGTCATGCACTACTGAAGTATGTAAATTGTTTATTTTTTTCCCCATTCAGTCACTAAAACAACATGTATTGAGTGCTCAATGAACAAGCTTTGGCTGAGCTTAATATATTCCTTTAATATATTTCTATCAGAATAACAATAATACAAGAACTGTCCAAATACAGGATGTACATACAGATGATCTACTGTTTAAATTGTAAATTTAACCAGTTCAGTTGTGTGTAAATTAAATCATGGGCTACCGTAAACATATACAAATCATCTTTTTCATTTAACATAATGGAACAGGCATTGTCATTAGTATTATTAGGAGTATAACCTTGATTAATATGTTTGTTTGTTTAGTAGTACTCATAAAGACAGAATTCTGACTGAACTGAAATGTGTGTCTAAGGCTTTGCAGTATTTAACATAGGTATTGATTGCATAAGCTAGTCCAATGAAAGAGGCACTGAAGATGAACCTTTCAGGTATTAGTAAAAATAAGAGCAGTTGAGGCTTTCCCGTGCAGGTGAGCCCATACAGGCAGTGACATCCTCCAACAGGCAGTAATGAGGAGTGCAGCCCTTGTTTTCCTGGCTGGGATCCCCAAGATCCCAGTTACTTAATGGGAAGGGAGGTACCAAGCACTGAGCAGGAGCTGTCCATGCATCTTCACTTGAGGCAGCAGCCACTTTGCATTGAACAGCTTCATTCCTACTATGTCATTAGGAAGTAAGTATTAGAATTCTTGATCATTTCGAGGCATTGCATAGACAGACTCTGTCTGGAGACCTGTTCCTGGCCTTTTTGCAAATTGAAATTATGTCCTTCTAAGACCCACCCTTTTGAGTATGAGGCTGCTTGAGAGATGTTGCAGTTTGAATCAGTAGACTGAAAACATGAAAGCATACACTTTTGCTAAGCCTGTGCAATTAGGCTGGAGGTGAAATAAAAAGAGAAGGAATCACCTTGAAATCTCAATCTAATTTTAATTTGTGATTGTTGGCTTAATCACCATGATATTTCCGTGAAGGAGAGATGGTGAGGCACCAGCGAAGGAGAAGAGCAAAACTCAGAACAGCTCCCTGAAGCGACATATGTCTTGCGTCTGTCAAGTGACAGGAGTATCTCATACTTACCTTGTAATAAAACAGCTGAGTTCTGCTAGAACAGCAGCTCCTTCAGAGCAAGCAGTAAGAGGTGGAGGAATGAGCAGTTATTTGTACAGCAATTAAAACTTTCTTTCATAAAGGGCAATTGTTTGTCTTCAACACAAAGGTGGATCTACCTCACTGAAAAATACATGTTTGCTGATGAGACTTCTGCATTAAAACTCTTCCAGGCTAAAGAGGCCCCCAAGGTTGTTTTATTGCCATAAGGTTAGTCAGATTGTACCTGATGTCCCTGACATCAACTAGAAATATATTTGCTTCTGATGAACTTGGCAGAGAAATTAATCCAGTGACTTGTTAAATATTTCACATCTTTAAATATTTGCTTTTGCTTCCCAGCTCAGTTCCTCCTATGACATTTCAATTACTGGCTATTGCAGCTTCCCCTTTAACTTCAGAAGGTCATTTTCTCCATCCTGTACAATAATCCACTTTATAGATTTGCCCCAGTGTTGCTTTTATTTTGGGTTTGTTTGGTTGTTTTTTAATTACAACCTTCACTTCTGAGGGAAAAAATATGATCAGGAATATGTCTCTACTGAACGACCAACACCTTTTTGGGGGGAGGAAATTGCAAGTTCCTAGTTTACCTGTTTAGCACTGTTTGTTTGACTAGAATAAGTTAAAACATGATGTTGCTATTCCCCAGATGGAATTTAAAATTTAGTTTGGTACTGAGTGAGGGTTAAAAACTTTTAAACTCTCACAATCTTTTAGAAATATTTAAATACTTGTAATGTATTTTCCAGTTGGAATTTCAGTCTAATAGATAAAGTCTCAATAAGAAGTAGTTTTTTCAAGAGTAAGAAGTTGCATTGGGAAATTTCAATGGGTGCATTTTTAAGGTAAAATCGGGAAGGGTGGTGAATTCCCATTTTTAACTCAATATTATCTTGACTTTCATACACCGTTGTTCCACGCTTTCTTCATCTGAGTATATTGACTTCAGGGGGTGGTTACACTTATTAAATTCATATTAGATATGGTCACCTGAATAGGCAGAAGCCAAGTCCTGCAACTCCTACTCAGATGCTCCATCTCTTTTATCATTCATAAAAGCCAGAGCAACAAATTCAAGATGTGGCCTAAAGATTAGCTGAAGTTTAAAAGAGCACAGAGTCAGTATGGATTGTGGTATGATAAATTGGTACCATCTAGACTACTCACTAAGGTTCTTTGAGCACATTTAAACAGAACAGCTGCAGGTTTTGCTGTTTTACCTTTGCCAGGTGCCAACAGCTGAACACTTAGAGCTATTTGCTGCCTGTGTTACAGCAGCCAAACATGATCACACTTCAGCAAGGGTTTCCCTTAGACCATTTCCCCCTGCTTTTAGTGATTCCAACATACTTTAATTCTTTTGCACTGCTCTTTAATCTGTCAAAAGGAGAATTTCCTAGAATCCAGGAGAAAATGTGTTACAGATTTAAGGGCAATTATCTTCAAATTCCTCCTGCCAAAATACCACAATAATTGACCTCTTAAAGACTTCCTTCCTCCAAAGCATTGAACGCCCCCTGCCCAGCACCTTCAGTCCTTAGGAAACTGAGCAGTTTGTGCGATTCAGCTTCTAGTAAATGAAGCCGTGTTTTTTTTCAGGCTTCTTCAAAACACTCATTCTATGAATTGATGTTATGGATAAAGATAAGTAATTGGAGATGGTGTCGTGGCATTACACTACTCCCTATGTTGACCAGCTCGACCAGCTCATGTCAAGCAGTTTTCTAGCATTGATATCAATGAGGCAAAGCTCTTCATGACTATTTCAGTTGGACGTTGGTTTGACAATAGGAGATGACTTTTAAAGTCGTGCTGTTGTAAGTACAAAAATGCTGCGTCTTCCATTGTTTTATTCTTGTCTGAAATATACCCCCACTCTACCCTATTCTGAGATCATTTGCTCAGTCTGTTTGGAAGCACCAGAGAGCTGAAAATGGTTAACTGATGCCACCCAGTTCTCAGCAGCAGTCTCAGTCACCTAAG